GGTGGGGGGCTCGTCGGTGGCGGCGGAAGACAGGGGGCCCGCGGAGACGGAGATGGGCTCGGTGTCGTCGTCGAAGACGAGGCCCGGCTGGTCGGCGATCTCGTCGTCGAAGTAGTCCCGCTCGTCCGAGCAGATGGACAGTGAGTGCGAGGGGTGGGTCGGCGTGCAAGGGCTCCCGCTCCCCGAGCCGGCCGCACCCGCCGCAGACTTGACCGCTTTGTCCAGGTCCAGACCTGTAATCATATTATACTATTCTAAAGAAGTTTCGCACTTTTAATACTATGTGAGCTGTATAAATACTATTTAATTAATACCATTTGATGTAGTTCCAAGTTCACTAAAATAGATTGAAAATGAGCTGAAATATAGATTTTAGGCCACGTCTGTCATCTTGAATTTTCGAATTTTAAAAAATGGACTAAAAATTCGAAAATTGTCCGAGTTGACCGAGTTGTCCAATTGTTGACCTGGAATCATGTTATACTATTCTAAAGAAGTTTCGGAATTGTATTACCATGTGAGCTGTATAAATACGTATTTAATTAATACCTTTTGATGTAGTTCCAAGCTCACTAAAATTGATTGAACATGAGCCGAAATAGAGATTTTGGGCCACATCCGGCATCCTGAATTATAGAATTTTAAAAAGTGGACTAGAAATTCGAGTTACCTATAAAAAAAACCCCTAGATAGAGATTTTAGACCACATCCGCCGTCTTGAATTTTCGAATTTTCAAATTTTGACTAAAAATTCGAGTTTTCTGTCAAAAAACACCCTCTCACAGTGATTTTAGGCTACATCTGCCGTCTTGAATCTTCGAATTTTAAAAATTGGACTAGAAATTCGAGTTACCAATAAGAAAAACCTTAGATAGAGATTTTAGACCACATCCGCCATATTGAATTTTTAAATTTTAAAAATTGGACTAAAAATTCGAGTTTCCTGTCAAAAAATACCTTCCGGTACGGCGCTTCGCTATAAGCGATTGATAAGAAGTCGAGATGACATTTTAGGCCACATTATTCGCCACCTTAAATTTTCGAATTTAAAAATTGGACGTGTTTCTGTCAAACGGAACCATGCGCCATGGAAAATCATTGTAAGCACAGGACGCAATGAGCTCCGTGGTCCGCAGCACCCGCCGATCCAACTCGCATTCCCCTTCATCCCCCTGTAGAGTTTGGTTTCGTTTAGCAGAAAAACGTCCAATGCGAGTTTCCCATCCAAGGATACCCGCTGATATCAAGTTTCATTATAATTGATCGAACGGGAGCAGCATATCACCGGATCGGTTGGCCTCTGCATAGTGGTAAACGATAACAGTCAATTTACATACGGCAGTGCGCCTTCAATTTCGTCTGATACTGTACAATACTTCTGTGGTGGAATAGTTGCTCAGAGCGCCTTCGACTCGGTGGCAGGCAGGAGATCACGATTACCTACCGCTGAAATCAAACACTAGCGCGTGCGCAGTTACACATTTCCTCATCATCAACGGGGAGTTAAAAACAATCATACCTCAATTGCGACGTTGCAAGTTTTTCACTGTCTATTTTTTATTTTATTCTATATCGCAGGCAAACTAAAACATTTTAAAATCCGCTGTGGCTTCAACGAGGTAAGTTTTTTTTTTTTTATTTTTGGTCGCATTAGGTGGTAGGGTTCAAAAAAATTAGTTGAAGTAATAAAGAAGTGGTTAATATCGCTATTGGTTTGTACTGAGGAGAAAACTCACTTGTTGGTTTGGAAGACGGAAGGTCATTGGCCTCAGAGAGGGGAGGTGAGATGCTCATTAAGTCCTCTGGTGATTGCTCATCCTCGATAAGTTCAGTGGAGTTCAAAGCAGCCAAGACAGCAAACGCTTGGTCCTCGATCGTCAGAAGGACTGACCTCAAGGGCTGGTCGATTCCTGGTATAACTGAAAAAAAGAAAACCTTGCTGTCAGCATCAAAAGTGCACATCTGGTTTTACTCAATTTATCTTCCCAATGAGAGGTTGGAAGGAGGGTATGAAGTAGAAATGTTAAGGTGCTCAATGCCCCAAAGGTTGTGGCTCGACAGAGGGCAGTGAAAGTTAGGTGTCGTACAGCGCAAGGAAGTGCTATAAAACGGCCTGTATGTGTGTATCCTCCCAATGTGGGCATTGTATATTTTTGCTCAAATTTACCGCAGAAAAGATTTCCCTTTCAATCAATGTAGAAAATAATGCTTGTTTAAAGAAGATAGGATGTTTATTTAAAAAAAAGTAATTTACATCAAACAGAAACCCGCTTTCATTCAGCGATTTCATTCTTGATTCAAAATAAAATCTTTTTTACGGCATACTCAATATGCTGGTATTAATATTAGGTTGACGTGCTGTTAAGTACGTTTAATTATGTGCAACACCTCTTATGTGAAATAGTAGCTTGAGGCGCCTTGGCACGGCGCGCGGCATGCTGCCAGCTGCAGCGCAGGACGCGCACTGGCTCCTACAAACCTAAGGGGATACTTCACGCATTGCGCCATGCGTGAAGTATCACCTTAGGTTTGTAGGCGCGAATGTGGACTTGGCGCTGGCAGCACGCGCGCCGCTCCGCTTCGATCTATATTAGGCTCTAATATTTAAACTCGCGGAGTCAACTCATGATTTTGAAATGTTTGCATACTCTTCATGGATTATTATCATTTATATTGATGGAAAAAAAGTATGTATTGAAGGGAAATATAATGTGCGTTTTGTGAATATGAAGGTGGTTCCGTATCAAATTGAATGATTTCCAAAGCACTTTAATTTTTTCGTTTATGTTTTGTGCTTTTACTGTGCTGCAGCGTGGTTTACGCGCAACTAAACGCTCAAAATTGGAAGTATTTAATTCTAAAATATCGATGTAGGAAAGGGTTAAAACCATAGATTGCGTGCTTCATGATTGTTTTTTCCTCTTTTATTCATTTTCGTATAGTTTCTTTCAATGTAGTTTCTTCTAGTGTTGTTCGTTGCGAACATGCTGTTTATCGATCCTTTCCCATAGGTTCAAATAGCAGATCAATCGATATATCGCAAAGCACGCCACGCCACCGCAGTATACTAGAGGCATCCCTTCTTTAAGTTCATTAGTCTGATAGCCATAAAAAAGTATAAAAAAATAAAAATGTGTATGTAAGAGCCGCTTTTACGGCGCGCTAGGGCGCTCTGCGACGCCTATTCTCCACAGGAATCTATCATGGTAGAGATCCTCCGATAAAAAAATAAAAATAAAAATAAAAATTAAAAAGACAAGCTAAACTGTCAATGAATTGCCCCACTTTTCAAGAAATTAAGCGGCAAGGGCTGATGCATTTTACGCTACGTGCAACTGAAAAATAGAATTATCATGTCAGTTCTTTGTCACGCTGAATAATAAGAGCTCATACCTGATTTGTCTCCGATGTCATCAGGGGTGGCGCCCTCCGGTAACAAGTCTGTCGCCATGGCTTCTCCCTCACACTCGCCTTCGTTCCACTGATCACATCCTAATAGTGCGAGGGACATGCCACTTTTCTCGTTCCGCATCAAGTCCCTGAAACAATTAATCGTGGTTTACAAAGCCGTGTTCCGAAATCAATTGCACGGATCTGAATTTTTGTGTACGCAACTGTATCAACTCCTGTGACTGTAAACACGAAAAAATTTGAAGGTGAAAACAGCTTCCATCGACTGCGGACGTGTTCCACTTCGCTGATCCGCGGATCCAGCAAATTGGCAACATTGTTTTTCTCCATTTGAACCTATAGAAATGTATCGATTCTTGGAGGGGCCAGGTGCTCCGGCAAGAATCGATTATTTAACATAGATTTAAAAGTAGGGATTCCGGTGTTGTCAAATTGCTGGATTCGTCTTTAGCTTCGCTTGGAGGCTAGTCGTATCGCATGCTGGGTCGATTGAGCGCATACCGGTGTTTTTAATTAGAGCTTTACCCACTTTCAGAAACGCTAAGATACTCCCGATTGGTATCTTGGCAATGGTGGCAACTTTTCCTTTTGAGACTCTAATTTTCAACAACTAACGTATAGTGGATGTTCAACAGCGCGTTGATTATCTCGTTCCGCAGACAAACTGAAGTTTGTCGAACTTGTTTGGCCTATTACGTTACCCGAAGCTCATTATTCACCTAGTAGGTGGGTCAACATCCGAAAAAAGGTCAATGATTGTTGTTGCCTTATAGTTGTCCATGAGAAAGTGTCAAATCCCCGAAAATAAGTTTCCGCCTGTCGCGAAGAGGCTAGTAGAGGATCTCTCTTTGTCTCTGTCTACTTTTTGCATCATAATGAGCCTTTTTGCAAATGGGATCTTGTGAAACTCACCTGCTCATTTTCTCCTCTCCATGGGTTGTAGAGTCTTCCTCGTCCGATGAACTGCTGAATTCGAAGTTATTTGTCTCTGCCCGTTTATTTATGAGCGACCTGGAATACATCAAATTAGTTTAATTAGCTTAAATCCATGATGTCCTTCATTTGGCCCTGAGGAATTTTCGATAAAGGGAAATAACACTGCAACGAGAAGAAAACTTTGGGGGTGACGATGAAGAGGCTGAAATTTGAATTGCGTCCAGAACTGTAACGCACTCAATCGCTTTTTAGTGTTAGGTCTTTTGTTTATGTCAAATTCAAACAACTTTCATATTAGCTTCCTTTCTATTAAAGTTTGAAAACGTTATCTTATGCAGAACAATGCTAGGAGTTCGTAGATGGATAATCATTGTAGTCCAGGCAATAGGGAAGTTCTTGGGGAAAATTTCCCGGAAAACTTTTTGATGAGTGATTCCTATGTATTTTTGGACGCTGAATCCGAATTTCGCATTTGTGTAAAGATCTTTTCGCCGCTAAAGCCGCCATTTTGAAAAAATGGCCTAAAAATGGCCTAAAATCCCAATTTTTGAAAATATCTCGCTTATTTTTGATTTTTTGACCAAAGTAGTTATTTTCAAAAATAAACTACATAAAA